TCGACTGTTATAAAGAAGGGCGATATAGATGAACATGCGCACCTCATGTGGTCCCGGTGTCTAGGCCTCGTCTGGCTGGTGCTGCAGGTTTTTGGTACTTTTTTCCGCGCACGCAGTTTCTATTGCTACTTTTTTTTTTTTTTTTTTTTTGGAAGAAGGTTCCGTGGAAAAGGTGGCCGAATTCCACGGGTAGATACTGAGCTGAATGGCTATTGATCAAGGGGAACATATCAATGATCCTTCAAGTAACAGAAGATGATAGGAGCGCTGTACAAGGTGTATTGCAAGATAGTCTATAACCCAAGTAGCACAATAAACACACAATCACTCACTCTACAAGGTGTGTCCTGGGCCAGAGAGGGGCCCAACGTGCTAGATAGTCTATACACAAGTAGTACAATAAAGACACCTCTCTCTCTCCGTTGAGAAAGGGGCAGAATCGTGTGGGGAGGTTTTGAGGTTAAGGGTTATCTAATACGGGCAACATATCATAGATGTTTTAGTAACAGAAGGGGATGGGAACGATTTGCATGATATGGTGCGGACCAATGAGGAGCCCACCGTGCTAAATAGTCTCAGACTCGAGCTACACGAGGGAAAACAAGGCTACGGTGAGCAGAGAAGGGGCTAGTGATGAACACGGAAATTGCCGGGCTGAGAGGCCGATCTGTCTGGACTAGGGACTAGTGATGGCATGGTCGAGGCCGGTTGCGCAGCAATCAGGCGGGTGGGATGAAGAGATGTTGCGGCGGCGCCAAAGCTCCTCAGCCTCGTCGCGCACGGGAGACGATCAGCAGCGAGGTCGCCGACTTGACGCCGAGCCGCCATCGATCACGCAGCGGCATGGCCACTCTGAGTACGGATCATCAGCGGCATGAGGCCGATGAAATCGACTCGGTGGGCGCTGAGTCACTGTGCCATGCTGCCGGGCGCGCGACTGGAAGTCAGCCGACGCTGTCTCGGGAATGCGGCAAGTGGCGTGAAGGCCGACTTACTCCCCGCAGTCACGTCCTGGAGTGCTACAGTGTGGAGTGTGTTTAACGCAGCATGCGGTCCGGGGCCTCGACAACATGACAAAGAGACAGCTCTGGCAGAGAAGCGCGATGCGCGTCGGTTGTAAAGTTACCCTTTCCCGTGACCCAGGGTCGCGCGCACACTTTGACCTACACTGTGCCATGAGAGGGGGCGAGTCGAGAAACAGTGCGCCTCATTAAAAGTCTTACTAATAGGGAAAATTGCAAGCCGTCGTTGCGCGATTCATTTGGTCCTGGCCACGAGACTGGAAGCCACAGGGATTCCCTCGGAACAGGAGTGGTAGCTCTTACTACCACTGTCCCTGCCCGGCCTAGGACCACTCGGGGCGAGTGGAACGAAGCTGAACTATGAGACCCGTATATAAATGCTCGACAGTGGTGGAGTCCCGTGGCCTCACGAGCTCTACAGCGTCTGGTAGCAGGGATACCCTATGTCCGGCCGGCAGTGGCCCGAGGCCTTCCGAGATCTGCTCGCAAGCTCCATGCAAGTCTCAACGGGCTCGAGGCAGCCATGGGCGCACGATGAAGCTATCACCATGCTTCCAGACACACTTTCCGCGCCGAGTGCCGGCTGCAGGGCACTCGCTTTGACCCAGGCTCGGCCACCTGGAAATTATATGGCAAAGCTGTGGTTCATGAACGCCTACCCAGCCCTTGGCTTTGGCACTGTCTAACTTAAACGGTGTTGGGGATGCAGCTCCTGTGTACCCTCATCTGCCTGCCTGCTTGACATAACCAACCCAAGTCTGCAATCCATATGCTCTTGGGGATGCCTCCCTACACCAACATATATGCGCGCCCCATAACAGATTAGTAGTGGCCCTGTCCTGTCAGAAAATCATGCCCGGGAGTGACCATCCCAACTCCTCTGTACCGTCTAGGCGAGTGGGGCATGTCGTGGAGACTGGCAAGAGGAGCCTTCCCGGCCAGTCTCAGTATCAATCTCGCCTCTGCTGTGAGCGCTGAACTTTGGTAGGGGACAAGGCTGACAGGTGTTCGGTCTTAAGCCCCCACCCTCTACATCTGCTCGCTGCAGGTATCATGCATGCAATCGACAGAAAACACACTCCTCGCCCTGGCCTTTCACTTGTTCGCAAATTTCCACCCCGTCATCCTTCCATTCACCTCGCATTTTGGGGTTTGCGGCAGACACGCCAGTGTGGCTCATGAAGCGAATATCTCTCTGCAAAGCCATCTAGATTACGCAGCGTCCATAACAAAGAACCCTGGCCTCCCTATTGCCTCGCGCGGAAAACTATGGAAGATGCATGTGGGTCCCTCAACCGATCTTTTAGACATTCCTGACTGCGAGGTATCTCAAGTGAATCAATGTCAAAATGAGATACATTAATTTGGCATTGACGAGAAAGTATCATGGTATGTATATACCGAGAGCTTTGTTCGGCTCATATTTGGTTATCAAGCTCAGAGTCCAATTTTTCTGATCTGCCTAGATGTCCCAGCATTGCGCCCCGCTCCGTTTTTTGGAATTACAGATGTTTGCTATTCAATGGACCAGTAAACTTCAAATTTCAGGGCATATTTACGGCCAAAGCTCATCAGGCTCAAAACAAGTGCATTACCCAATTCGGACTTCATGCTAAAAATTTTAATTATCTAGCAACGACTTGGGCCTTATGGTCCCAGGCGCACTAGGGTCATTCAGCTTGTTTCCCATGCCCTCACAGAGCTTCCGGCAACCCTAGACATATTATTTCATTCACAATGAAGCCGTGCGTCCAGATTGAATGGAAGCCCTGCTCTTGAAAGCCCAACATCTAACCTTAGATGGAGACCAGATTTGACGAACGTTAATACTCCAAGGACTGGTCGAGGCAGCCAGGCCCTTGAAAATAGAGTCCATGTGGGGGTGGAAATGTGGTGATAATCTCCCTCCAAATGTCTGCTTCGATAAATTTCAGCAATGTTGTGCCGGCGTTCAACAGGGATATCACATCCGCTAGTTTTGCCGTGAGATCTTCCCAGAGAGGAATAGCGCTGAGCATCGACTCCTGTATCATTTGACCCTTTCGCCCTTGTGAGGCAGATTTGTAGCCAAATAACTGAGTGGGACGGAATCGCATGGACCTACATGAAGGGTTCGGTGGAGAGCGTTCCAGAAGCAGTTGTCGGCATTATAGTGTCGTATTAGGGATCAAGTATCGGAAATTTCTACTGTCATTCATGTTGTCAAATTTACAAGGTTTCAACCCATTCGGAGCCGACACAGGTATGGTCGAGGAATTATTGTTGTGTCCTTCTAGGGTCAAGGTATGGGCGGCCCACGAATCAAAACTCGACTTTAATCGAGATTGCCCTTCACATCAGCCACCTTAACCACTTGTCCTGCAGCCAAGAGCTTTGGGGCAACGACCAGAATACACAGGCGCCATCAATTAAATCATGCACTTCACAGTCCTGAAATATCGTGGCAGATGTCGTGTAAAGCATGGCCTGTTGGCTCGAACGTCTTAAAGGGGACTAGACCCCTACCCATAGAAGCTTAAAATGATTAATCTCTCATACCCTGGTCCCATACGACTGACAGTTATAGTGGGTGCCAGATGACGTATTGGCCTAGAGGGGCTATCTAGACCCTTGTCATTAAAGTGTGACCTCCTACGCCTGCGGGGTATGGAGTGTCATCACCTTAAATTTTACAACTTGTGGAACATCGAGGCATAAATGTGGCCAGCACGTGGACCAGCAGCTTTTTCGTGTAATTCTACGGCTCTCTTATTTGTGGTATCACACGTTTGGACACCATTTTGGATGCTCGATAGGATCGATCTGTCTTGAACAGTTGCACAAATATGTAGAGAGCATTGATTCTGATATCTCTTCAAGGTCAGAATCCATATCAATTTTAGCTAGAATCCTTGCCGTTGAGCAGTGTGACTTATCATTACGTACGTTTGCACGAGAACAAAGTCCATGTAAAGTATTCCAAATCTAATCTATTACTTTACTAGATAATCGCACGATTCTACCTAGACAATGGAAGTTCAATCGAGGGAGTTGCACATGATCAGTTGGTATCTGCTTTTATGTAAAGCGACCCGGAGACCCGCCCCACTCTTCTCTTCATATCCTAATGAACAATCCAGCCAGGATCGAATCTGCTTAGTTACGTGGTACATTATGGCTCTTACGGGTCGAGCCGATATCCATCATTTTAATGCGCAGTGAGCATGTTTTCAAGAAATTTACGACAGTTACCAGACTTGTGGTGTCTGGTCCGCGTGAGCCTTTCTTCTCAACTGGAATGACAAATGAAATTTCAGATCAATGAAAGGTCATCATCTACTTTTCGTAGCCAAGCCCACCGCAGGAATTAGTATCGGTTAAACTTGCTTACTTTTGTACGAACGGTGTGATACGAGGCCAGCAGTTTCTTGCTGGCGTGACAATATTTACCTGTGCATTCAAGTAAATAGGCGAGCTTGTAGTGAGAATTATTACTTTTGAGACTGCGTATGGCAGTGGATAATTGGTAAGAAACTGATGTTGATTTTGTGACCAACGATAGGTCTGGGTAAGTATGAAGGAAATAGTTTTAAGCCAAGTTGTGGTAGGTGTTTTGTGTTCCATGGCAGTTTAATCTGGCTTTGGAGCTACAATGACAAAATGTGACGTTAATGAGAGTGACCCAGGATTCCGGATCCAAGGGAGGGTGATCATCGACATAGACCGATGAAGGTTCATATTAAAATTACGATTTATCTTCCCGTGAATCCTTGCGGGAGAGTAGGCACATTGATAAGCTGGGGGAAGCTTACTGAAGGCAGACCTCATCTTCCTGGATATGAGGCACAGCACAATGTGAGCTCAATTTGAGCATTAAGGTAGAAGAAAATTTATGTAGCGATTGTCCGGTGTACCAAGCCATGTCCGGTACCCCGAGGGTTTCGCCAAACTCCCGATGAAGAGATGCCAAACGCCGATTATTTTAAGCAGATTTTTTTATTAGTAGGACACTAAACGTCTACCACATGAGATGGGCGATGAAATCCCACTCATAGTCTCGATGTCATTACTAGCGTTTGTCCGGCATCGGTGTGGCGCAGTTGGACTATCTTCGACCTGGGCTTGCCCGAATGCAAAGGTCTGCGCTCGGCTGAACTTGGAACGGTTCTGCCGGAGACGACCCATCTCACGTTCACAAGTAAATACGTGTTCCTTGTCGTCCATTTCAACGTAATTCTGTGGGTAGCAGCGACTACGATATTGGGAAAAGAAAGAGCTATATCCGCCATCTAGGATGTAAACGTCTGGATAGGTAAGTTTTGGGTATTGCTCAGCATTGTTTGCCCGGTCTTGCTTGCGAATGTGGCGGGCCATGATTGGGGCCCTATGTGCTGAGTATTCACAGTGGAAGACGAGCAAAGTCTTCTTTGATCTTCCGGGCACAAAAAGTTTGCCGGAGAGAAGTTCTTTGTCATTAAAGTTGATAGCTCCATTTATGTGACCACCGACAAACTCATATTCAAATCGACAGTCGATAATCATTTGCTCATCGAACTGACTGGAAAATTCGCCGTCTAGGATTCGGAGGAGCGTATTTTGACTAATCCTAGGTATACTGTCCGGGCTACCTTCTTTGAAAAAATGGGGTAAGACTGGTTGATATAGTTCATCGATGTCCATAACAGTCTGCAAATTACTTACCACGCTTTCATCCATCTTGGCATTCACCATTTCACATGGATTTTCAAACATGCTAAGAGACCGGCGAAATTGTTTTCGAGGCCGTATTAAGGGGTTATATGGCCTTCGCGCACAAGTACCCAATGGTGATCCGGTCTGTCTTGCAACGCCACTGGCGTTGCTGACGAAAGCTTTTCCTAAACGAGGTGCATTGTTGGTGAGGGGACTGGCAGAGAGAGGCGACTTGAGTTCATGAGATGGAGAGTCATGGAAACATTCCTCTAATGACATGGTTGTATTATTCGAAAGCTTACTACTACCAGCGCCAAAGCGGAACGGATGTTGGGAGCTGTCCAACTTTCGGCAGGGAACAGAATTAGTGGAGAGCCCCTTGGCTCGGGCCAATCCAGGTCGTGAGAGAATTGACTTCTTCCGCCTACACCCGAATTAGTCTTTGTTGTTTCAGCCAATAAAAACAGACGCTGAGCACGTACTCAACTCCGAGGTTGGAACGGTTAATCTCGGAAAATGGAAGTAGGGGGGGAGATGATGGTATATTGTCTTCTGAGTTGTTAACGGGAGAGGGTGACATCATCTCAATCTGAGCAAAATGGGGTTGTTTGTGGGGGAGGGGAGAGATATCCATGTGCTCGTGAAGTGGACCGGGTGTTGAAGGGTGTAAAGGAGGCGTCAACACGGATAACTCTGTAAGTTGGTTAGTGAATTTTACCAAACTGCTGGTGAGAACGAGTGTACCTCGGGATTCTGCTGCGAGTAGGTTCGACGTAAAAAGCGACCGACGTGGTGTCGGTAGTTGTGGGCTAATTTCGTGTCAGTAAAGTCTCATGCTCGAATTTGAAAGGTCATGTACTACCTCATGTCAATGTGGAAGTTTTGGGATAGGTCTGCTGCGAGGCTTGTAGTGGGGGAAGATCCATGGAGAGGATTACCCGAGCCGAAGTAATCGGGTTGATTTGCTTTCTTCATGCTCAAGTCTCGAAAGTTGAAGGCTCCGGGCCCAAATATGTTGGATGAAAAGTTTCCGTGTGAGTTTGAACTGTAGATGTTGCTTCGAGCCCAGGATGGCATCAGAGGATTTGCCTGCATGGCAGCTATTGGTGAAGAAGTTTCCATGGTGGTGGCTTGGGACCAGAGTTGAGATGATAGATTGGAATCTCTCGAGGAACCGTGGACCGCTGTCTACACGAAATTCTATCCAAGATATATGCAGTGGCTCCGTGGGTGAGCTAAGCAAATCTGAGGCAATGAGAATGCTTATTTTGAACTCTTTTATGGAGAGGGGCGATTCGTGATGAGATTACAAGTGCGACTTTGATTATTACAGTGAGAATAATAGTACCTTCACAGTCCACCGGTCCCGAGAGCCTGAGTTTGAAGTTCGCTTATGTGACTATCGACATGGAGATTCTGCGAGCAGTGGTCAATCCGGGTCCTGAGGGTGTAGGTTGTTGTTTGTGGCCGTGTTCAGTCAGGCGAAGTGAGCGCATATGACGGGTTATCTGCTGAATCACTTGACACCTTAGACTTGGGGGATGCGGGATTGGACGGGATGAGCGCCGTGAGGGAAGGGCGAGGAAGGAGAAGATAAGGTAGAAACGAGGATGAGTAAGGGTACGAGTACGTGACTGACAACTGTGACTGGCGGGCGGGAGGGAGTGCAGGGACGGTTGCCAAAGCGTTATTGAGGGTTTGTAGAAGTGGAAGAAGAAGAAATGATCTGAGGCTTGTAGGATCAACAAGATGGTGGTGGAGCAAGAGCGTTGCTGTTGTTGTCGGGGAGATTTCCTAGAAGGTTTAGTTGGTAGAGGGAGGTAAGAAGATACATGGGTTTTGATCTTTGTCGGATTCGTTGCGCCTGGTCGGGGATTTTTAGCTCCGTCCTGAACTATGTTCAAGAGCGAGCGAGCGAGCGAGCACAAAGTAAATTCAGAGGAGCTTACGGCAGATTGGCGATGTGGGATGAAGCTTATTGCTTGAGCTCACAGTGCAGGTCATGAGTTGCGAGCAACAATGGCGATGAGGGTGAAGATGATGCTTCGCAAGTAGGAAGTAGGCAATGACAGTACAGCTGGACTGGTGCGAAGGGAAAACTTCTACCCTCATACTCGTTGTGATGAGGATCATCATAACGAGTATAATACAATGCAATGATGTTAATGACGGTGATAATGCTGCGCATAATAATTAGAATGAAAATTATGAGGATGCCAGTAGCGCCAAAGGTTCAAGCCTCGGCAAAGGAGCCCGCAGCTGGCTCAGAGGGTCTAGCCTGATCCTGCAGGGTCTCCCGCGGCTACCTAGTAGCCGAATAATGAAGCCAGTCAAACCTTTCCCCACACGAACACTCCCACACAATGTGTGACCAAGTGGAAGCCCGGAGCCATGGAAGACATACCATGGTCACCAGTTAGTCTGATAGGGCCACAGCAGTACCAGCAACTGCGACACCGACGATAACACCCTCTCACTTTGGCATACCAAATCCTCTCGTCCCCCGGCTCGCTTGGCTCAGGACCCCTTTCCTCTTCCTGCCGACAGAAATCAAATATTTTTTCTACCTGCAATGTAAGTGTATCGCATTGAACTTAATCCCAGGTTTCCGCCCTGTTTTCCTGGCTCACCCTGCCTGCATGTTGAAAGGTATGCGCTGCGGATATTGATCCTGTGTGTGTATGTACGAGTCAGAAGAACATGCGTAGGGAAGTCAGCAGCTGAGGGCATTTAGTTGAAAGAAGCAACCATGAGCCGGAATGGCAGAGGACGAGTGAGTGTCTGTTTCGAGTGCAGCGAAATAAGCAAATACCCGTTAGTCCTAGAACTCAGGCTGCCCGGATCGGCAATCAGCAACGTTCTACCAGTCACATGTATGGAATCTGTCTGACTAAATCAGCGTCCCTCGCCAACGGACCGCGTCGGAATAAACTATCCGCACAGAACTTGTTTCTGCACGTCTAACTACAGCCCTAGCTTGAGCTGCCCCACCAGTAATTAAGTCTGGCTATAATTTCCATCACAACCGCGTCCCGAGCACCACTGGTATGTCGGCCAGCGTGCTATTTCAAACTTAGCGGCTGCCCCTCTCAAGGACTTATTTCTTTGCCATACATCAGGGAGTGCCCGTTGGCCGAACCTTGGTATAAGCCGTGATAGTGTCTGGTCGGATTGAAAGAACCGTGCAGGGCTGTTCAACCTGAGAATAAAATTTTATGCTCGCTAGTCACACAATTGGTGGTGGACGCGATGTCAATATTGACATTCGCGTTTGGCTAGCTTGATCCCAGTCGTCTGATGCACGTCATCCGTATAGTAGCATGGGATTGGCGCCGACTCATGATCCATATCGTTATCTCTGATCTAAATTGCTTGCACATTTACCTTCATACTCATTCAGCGTATACATCACCCAGAGACTATTGCATAGAAGATCCTTTAACCTACAACAATGCCGTACATTGGGCCTACTTAAATGATGACCTTGGCGCAAGTTAGTCCACCCCGAGGGGAGAGTGTCAAGTCACTTGCGTGCTGACAATTCAAGAGGTCTCATTAGGTATGTCATCGAGCACAGCCTAGCAGTCTGCCAGGTAATGGTTGATTAGACAGTAATGAATCAATGTTGTGAAATAGGTCGCGCGTAGAGACCCACTTGAACAATCAATGCGAATGCGAAGTTTCTCTCAGCCAGTTATCAGTCGTCTAGTTCTCTTCGTTAGATTCTCCACGAGAGAGATGTCCATATCGGTTGCCAGGACAATGTTTTAGTCGGAAACGACGGTGTGCACTGGTCCTGGGCCTACGCAGCTACTGATGGCAGTGGCGACAGCTAAGCTAGGCTCGGAGATCTAGGCCAACTAACGCAGGAGTGAAGAAAGCCATTCCTCTCTTACCCCAAGTCATTCGTACATTTAAACTCTCCGCCTGAAACGCCCGACTTTATTCTATTTACAGGATCAAGTGAGAGGCTGGGAGAATTAGCGTGCGTTGGGAAATGATGAATAGACGGTAGCGGCAGTGGTAGATGGAACGATCGTAAGAATCGATGCAAATCGATGCTGTCAAAGTTATTGCAAAGCTTCCTGAATCTCGTCATATGTCGCGTAGCCGCTTGAAAAAGCAAGTTGCAAGCTGACGGGCTCCACAACGCGTTAGAATGAGTAGGTGTTTTTGAAAGGCGCTTAATTCCCCATCCATCTACTCATCTAGTCTGCCTCATAGGCGGCGTTCTCGTCCGGTCGATAGCGTACGCCTTGCTCTTCTTGGTCTTCGCCGTCGGGCTAGTCGATCATGGTCGACCTGGCTGGAATTTATAATGAACAGGGGTCGCGTTGGGCAAAGATGCTCGAGCAATCCACGCCGAATGACTGTTCGCTCATGCTACGGTCCATCGAGATGTTCCCGAAGACCCCTCCAGGTTAAGAAGTGGAGCTTAGCGGCAAATATATTTAATACCTACATACACAAGCGCGCCTCCAACTTGGAAGGATCGGACTAAGTCGGTCTCCTGCAGATCCGATGAGATGAAAAATGAGACAGTGCCAAGACACAGGCAGGTTGATGTGTCGGTAGAAGCAGCATAGGAAAGAGATAGTGTCGAGGGCGAAGAACTTGACAGAGAACGAGACGCATGGGCGAAGGAAAGGCAGTTGTGGTCACCGTCACAGTCACAGTTGTTTCGGAAGTTCCATGGAGCGGGAGCGAGGGCCCAGCGACTGGCCACGTGCCGTCTGTAGTCGCGTCAGGAGACCGGTAGGACAGCAAGTAGCCTTGGAACACCTAAACTTGGGCCGATTTGTTTGTCTAGTTCTCCCCTAACTTTTCCGTTGCTTCCATTACCCAGTCCCTCGACCATCGTCCATGCTAATCCTTGACGGTTGCAGAGCCGTCAGCCGACATTACTTGGATAAGACGGACGGATAGGCCGGAGGCATAGAAGCAGGCCGATGAGAAACCTGCATGGAAGAAGTAGCGGCCACGCCTGCTGGTCGCTCTGTGGAATACGGGTCTGCAAATGACAACGACTGTGCACCCGAGCCAGAAGCATCCAACGCAGCAGTCTGAATCGCTTCAAGCGCCTTTCTCATCATCGCTGGGTAGATTGTAGTGTGGCCGGCCACCAGCAAATGCATAAATCTTGCGCCACCTGGCTCGCCAGGACGGGAGTGGAGAAAGAGAATTCACATCATCTTGGGCTCCCCTCCCCCCCGGCTCGGAAGAAGTCGAGCGGATCGAGATCAATCAGGTCCATCCCTGTTGTTCGAGGGGGCTAAGTGGAATGGGAGGTTGGGCCAATGCGAGCATCTGGTCTATCTGTCAATTGCTACGGCTACGACCACCGTCCTTCCCTCAGCCCTCAACGCCTGTACTGTACACAATGATAACAGGGAACCCGAGTTGCACCAGTGGCCCAGCACCTGCTGTCCTTCGTTATTGCCGCCCGCCTTGCTAACCACCATGTCACGAGACTGCAGCCTCAGGAACCTCTCCCTCCACATTCCAGAGCCTTGCCGACCAACCACGGCTTAGACCTCGTCGTGGGTGGACCATACACGTAGCCCATGCCAGACAGGGAGGCTAGTCGATAGATGCGAAATTGGTGAGAAGCTCATTCTTGCTAGGTAGAATAAGACCTGTCGCAATCTCTCCTTGTCAAACTGGGTAGAGCAAGGTCCGTATTAACCGTCCCTAGGGTATGGCGCATATCATCGGATTTGAGTGCATGACAACTCCTCCATGGGTCTGCACAAATGTCTAATATTTACTTCTGTCCGCCGGCGCACGGGTGCCGAAAATTGGGCCAGAATCAAGTCAGCCTAGGGTAGTGTCATAGAGTAACCTAGGCTACTAACACGTTACGAGAGAGATGGTCGGAATCAGCATTCTTCTGACCTCCGGAGCAGGAGATATGGAACTTGTAGCCAGTCCAACAGTCGGGATCAATTACGAAGGTGTCGCCCATTGTGATGTTGGCAATCCGATGAGGCCTGTTGTTGGGGTAACAAAATCCTGTCCACCCCTATGGCTGGTATTCTGCTAGCAGAAGCGACTCTGGATCACGAGACCTCGGCTGGCTTTCGCGGATAGCACAATTCTCCATTCTCGCAGACCTTGTTTGC